ACCTTTATGACCTCATTTAACCTTAGTTACTTCCTTAGTTACAGGCTTTATCTCCAAATACATTCACATTGGGGATTAGATCTTCAGCATATGAATTTGGGGGACCACAACTCAGTTCACAGCAAATGTTATTGGAATTCCTTTATATTTTGCACTGCTTTCCTTATTTTTATTAGCATAAGTACTAAAAATTCCAGTAGGCAAAATAATAATCCACCAATGATTTCTACACTCTAATCCCTGGAAACTGTAAATATATTACCTTACATGGAAAAAGTCACTTTGTAGATGTAAGATGGAGGACCACATTAAGATGGAGATATTGTTGTAGATTATTCAATATTAATAATTAATCTACAACATTAATAATCTATATTAGATATTGTAAATTATGCAAAGCCTACAACATTAGGATTAACCTACTCATTTGAATCCTTGAAAGCAGAAATTTTCTGGTGGTGATCAGTCCAGGGGAGATGTGACTGTGAAATAACAGTCAAAGAGATGCAACAGTGAGAGCTTTAAAGATAGAAGAAAGTGACCTGAAGCCAAGGAATCTGGGAGGCCTTTAATTGCAGCCTCCTCCAAGACTCTAATATGCAGAAAGCCTTCTCTACGGGTGTCATTCTGTCACTATAATCTACATAGAGCATATGTTTATCCTTTAAAGTCCCCATTTATTTTCCTCAACATTAATGTCCCCAACAACTTTGGCCATTCAACAAGATGTAATAGTCTGGGCTTTTCCTCTATATGCAGTATCACAGAGGACACAGACCTTGAATACAAAAGATTTATATTGTCTCCTAGAGAAAGGGATAAAGAGAATATTAATTATAATTTGAAATACTGTGTTTAACAAATGAGCAATTGATGTAATATTTTAAATTGTGGAACAGCTCTGACTTTACTCCTATACCAGCCAATGAGGAATCCAAAATCTATAATAAGAACCTGGGTCTGATTGTTACCACCCTTAACACAAAGTTAAAACACAAATAGAAACACACACACACAATAGCAATGACAAGAACAATCAAATCAACATTAAAAAATAAAAATATTTAGTAATTAAAACTAAGAGAATATTTTGAATTGGAATCAACAAATTCAACACATTCAACTGTATAGAAAATCCAGGTAAAAACTATTTCAGCATCTTTCTAAGGTTGCTTCCCAAAATAACAAAGTTAAATGTGAGAAATCAAATAAATTTGGCTTTGCTTACTTCTAACAAGACACCTTAGATTCAGTGTTATACAGCTTGTGGTGAAAGGTGATCAAATGCACAATATAATGTATAATGATTTTTTTCTGCAAACCAAGATTTATCATTACTAAATGTCAGAGTTAAAGTGAATAATACTGAGGATATGTAAAAAATAAACACATTAAGACCTCTAAAGTTTAGGTTGCTTATGTAAGAACTTTACTTTGTTAAACCTCTGTGCATCACAAAAGAATTTCCAATGTACCAATATGTTATAAAAAAATACCTTTGGGTGACAAATTCACCTAATCAAAAAAAAAGCCTTCTTTCCCTTCTTGCCTCACTTAATAATGATTCCATCTCCAGTTCAGCAGTAATGGAAGTAGAAGTAGAAGGTTATACATAAAAATTATTATGTATAAAATTACATAATAAAAATTATTTTTACTAGTCAAATTGAACCGTGCATGCTCTTAAGTTCTTTTTATACTGCTTAAGATAATGACAGTAAAGTACATTGGATAAAAATGGTGTCCATTAGATAGGGAGTGAGAAGTTCAAGAAAAAACTGATGGTATTTAATAAGAACAACTTTATATGAACATTTTAATCATGAGAAGAACACAGACAAAGGAGACTGGTCAGTAAGAGAGGGAAGGAAGAACTGTGGGCAAAGTTTCCAACAGCTGGACCCAAGTAGACAAGAGTTTCATCACATTACATTTATACTCAACTGCTTAGATTAGGAAAAAAACAACCATGTGAAGGGACAATTCTACTATTTGCTCATCTGCTTTCAAGCTGCCAAACTGGACTGAGTTTGTCAGGTCAGTTTTGTTCAGACATGATAGTCAGGGACCTCCATGAATATACAATGTTCAACAAGCCATCGGAGAAGTTTTATTTGCTCTAGCTTCTTTTCCCCTCTTCTTTAGCATAAATAAAGGTGGGAAGAGAGAGGAGAAAATACATATTTGAAAGAAAAAAAAAGCACATCTCCTTTTTTCCTTTCTTCTTCCCCTTAAATGATCTCACAACAAAATTTTCTCTATGAAAGGGTAAACTGGGACATCTTGATTCAAAGTTTGAAATTACAATAGAACCTGCCTTACTTCACAATATTCAAAAACACATGAATAGATACTATTATTTTAAAAATATGTTGTGGATGTGTGTATAATGCAAAGAAAGAACTAAAATCAGTGTAGTCTATGTTAGTTAACTAAGTTAAACATTAAATATGCAATAAGTAGCTTTCAACAATAAATAGACTCACAGGAAAACTACCTTAAAATATAGCAGAAAAAATACTACTGCAGAAAGTAAGCAGGGTTATGAACTTAGGAAGTTTGACTTGGAAGAACATTAGAGATCTCCTGCTTCAGAGACTGGTAGGTGAAGAAATGGTGGCTAACAGTTATTAGTTGGTGAACTATTCTATGACAGGCATTGTATTAAATATAGTAATTATGTTGCCTTTAAACTTCACACAGTTATCAAGTAGGTTCTATAATTTTATCCATTTTGAAGATGATGAAAATGAGATACAAATTAAATAAAAGGTCAAATATCAACCAGAATTTTAATCCAGTTAGTCTGTTTCAGGCAATTTTGATTTAATTATTCAGGAGGCTGAAGTTACTAAGTGACTTGCCAAAATCCAAATAAATGACTTCAGTAACATATATGGAAACATTTTAGTCCCCAAATGAATGGGATAAATAGCATTCTGTCTTTCCAAAGAATTCAAAGAAACAAATTATTAAAAATGACTAATACCATGATCTCTAAATCCTACATTCTAATTATATGTTATATGCCAAAGGCTTTTAATAGTTATTATTAGAAAGCAATTGTAGGCATTCCATTGGGAAAGGTTTATTTCATTTATTTGTTAATTCAGTAGAAGCACACTCTAGTTAAAGCAATCAATGCTGCATAGTATTAACCTTTCTGAAAGCAGATGAAAAGTGACACTAAATTCAACTTGATTCACTTTAAGTTATATCCAAGATCCTTTCAGTAAATATATATTTAAAAATAAAATATTATATTACCTAGCATTTTACAATCTGGAACTATCCTCACTAATCAATATTTTTCCACAGAATGGGAAGGGCACCTAATCAATGAAAGGCTATGCTTTCAATGATGGACTCATATTAATGTAATGTCTTCTTTATTATTAAATCAAGGTTAGGGAGAATAATTAATATCCAACATGTGCCAGATACTTTATATACAACTTTATTTCTCCCCTTTATAACACTGCCATGTTGAATCAATAATATTATTTCAAATACCAACTGTTACTTAGTAATATTACAAGTATTTGAAGTGAAGTCTCTTTGGCTCTAAAACTTTCCGTACTTCTACCATGTGAACTGGCCCAGATTAGATTGAGCCTAAAATCATGGTAATATCATTCCGATAAAGTATGCTCTTAAAATGTTACAGCTAAATATTTCATTCTTTCCATAATCTTAAAAACCAGATTTCCATTTATCAACGATAAATTGATACTTCTCTTTATGAGATTATTTATTTCTCTGATCATGTCCAATAGGGTTTACCATCTATGTATCAATCATGCTTTTTAGGCTTTTTAATTAAAACGGATACTTCCTTAAATTCATTTTTATGTATTATCATTCCTTTTCAGAAATGAGTTGAATTATCTTATATAGATATTTTCTTTCCATTTTAATTGCAGTATTTTGACATATAATACAATGCATGAATTTTAACTATGTTGTTCTATGAGGTTGACAAATGTATAATACACTTGTGTAATTATACCACTAAATCAAAACAATAGAAAAACATTCTATCACTCTAGAAAGTTCTCTCAGACCATTCTCAGTTCATTCTTACTCTAAAATAGATAATCACCATTCTGATTTCTACCACTATAGATTAATCTCTTCTAGAACTTAATATAAATGTGTACTTTTTTACACTTCACTTCTTTGTTCACCATAGTATTTTTGAGATTCATCATACTGTTGTAGACTTTATTCACTTTCACTATTGAGTATTATTTCATAGAATAAATATATACCAACTGTTTGTTCATTTACATATTGATGGTATTAAGGGGTTGTTCTCAATTTGGAGCTATTATAAATAAAGCTGCTATGCTCCTATTCCAGTATGAGTCTTTTAATGGTCATATGTATTCATTTTTCTTTGATAAAACAAGACATAGTTCACCTGTTTGGTTATTTATATTTAAGGTTGAATTTTTGTACACAGGTACTATACAGATCTTATTTTTGAAACCATCCCTATAATCTCTTTTAATTTATATTTTAAAAATTACTGACAAAGTTCCTTCTATCTACTACTTATTTTATAGTTTTCCAGTCTGTTGTTTGGCATTTTTTCTTCCTTTCTTGAACTCTTTTGGTTTAACTTGGTGTATTTATATTAATCCATTCTATCTCCTCTATTGGCTTTTTATCTATAATGCTATGTTTGTGAAATAAAGACATTTTCAGCTAAATGAAATTTAACAATTTGTTACCAGCAAACATATACTACAAGAACTGATAAAGGAAGTTCTTCAGGCCAAAGGGAAATGGAACCAGATGTAATATTGAATCTACAGAAAGAAATTTAGAGCAATAGGAATGCTAAATATGTGGGTAAAAACAAAAGGTCACTTCTCTTTATTTTCTTACATTCCTTAAAAGACAATTAACAATAGCTTAAAAATAGCAATGTACTATGGTATGTGGAATAGAAACATATGACAACAAACACAAAGGGTCTGAGAATGTAAAAATTACCTTTTCTGTTGCCAATTCCTTACAGTGTGAACTGGCATAATATCAATTCAAGATAGAATCTAGAAAGTTGAGAATGCACAGTGTAAACTTCAATGCAGACACACACATACACATACCCCACAAACACAGAATTAGAAATAAAAACCAATAGAGATATAAGATAGAAAGAAATCATTTCATTTTTTTGTATTGTTTCTTTGTTTTGCCTAGTTTTTAACTATATAAATGTATTTGAAGCTATTCTTCTACCTATACTTGTGAGGACTTTGGTCACCAGCCTTGACTTTATATGTGTTGTGGGAATAAAGTGCATGATGTGATGTCCACTCTCTTTCCCCTTACTGGGTCGGCACAAACATTGTACAACTGCTTCAGTTTTAGCTAATCAAAATTCCCAGGTACACTATTTCCCTGAATGATTTTCCTTGGCTCTAGGAAGATGTATAGCCCATAGCCAGTGAATATTTGATGTGTGTAAAAGAGGTTTCTATCCCTTACCTCAAAGGATCCATGGTTTAGAAAAGACCACAGAGACCACAACCTGTCTTGTGAGATGATATAAAAAACTTGCATTAAGCAGCCAAGTATGAATGCACATTGACAATATGGTGTGACTATATAATGATTGAGACTATAATAATAATGCAATTATGTTTCTAAGATGTCTGATTTTAAGAAATATATACATTATTAAAAAAAACTATTTCTATGTGGGCAAAAATCTGAATAGGAATAACAAAATTGTCCTACAAAAAATGTTTGCTTTAAATTGGGATGTTTCTATAAAAGCTTTAAATGAATAAAAATACATCGAAGTATCATTCAGCAAGTACACATTTGATACCTTAAAATTCATCCAAAGTTAAAAACTGTTTTCCTATCACTTTTCTATCTCCAGAAGAGCCTTTCTTTTATTCTTAAACATTCTTATCATTTTTCTACCTTCATTGGCTTTGTTATGATCAGCAAATAATCAAACAAAGCAGCAGAATCCTATATCCTCTGTGTCTGCTATTCAAGTTTATATAAACTAGTTAACTAGGTATTTCGTGATGTTATAATTTATGATTGCCTATTTAATGAATAAAGGAAATTGTTCCCTAATGTATAAGGATGGAATGTTTATACATTATGGATATATGATGTATATGTATAATGATGGAATGATTCCCTAATCATCTTGATGAAATCCTAACATCAAATATATTAGGAAGATAAACAACTGATTCATATCAGTCATAAAACAATCTAATGTAAATAAGAAACTTAATTAAAATTAGCAATAAATAAAATATCTTTGTACAGACCTAATACTTGTAATTGTAATCTACACAAAGCAAACTGCAATTTGAATAATAAAAATAAAAAATAAACCATAATAAATATTGATGAAGATCAAAGTTTCTTAAACCATAAAACTAAAAGAAGCAAATATAAAGGAAATATATTTTAAGATATTACAATATAACATATTATAATATAAAAATATTAAGAATTTGTGCAAGCCAAAAATCAAAGCTAGTTAAGATCATAAAACTATAGTTAAGATTATAAAAAAATTAGAAAATTATTGTTAATAAGTAATTATTACATAGAGCAAAATTATAAATTTACAAATAGTTTAGGTGAATCATTCTAAAACATTAAAGCCAAAAATCAATAAAAATACAAAGGATATGAAGCAGAAACTTTGGGAAACCCCCCAATCCACATGTATTGATAAGCATTATCTTTAACATTAAAAAGTGACGTGAATGTAAACCAGCATATCATTTTATCTACCCAATTCTGTACATACTGTGACATGATCGACTTTCATTTTGCCTTTATAAATGTTGAGTGAGGCTGTTGGGAGGTGAATGGCATCACCAGGATCTGCAAGAAGTGGAATGCAGAACACTGCCTTAGTGTAGGGTGTGCAAGCAGAGGTAGAAACCTGTGGATCCAGGTTCACTCAGTACAACATTGTACCCTGGGAGTAAGGATGACAGAGAGTGTCAAAGATGACTCTCAGGTTTGTGATTGTTGCCACTACTGTAAAAGAAAGCCATATTCTAAAACTTGGCAAAGAAGCAGATTCCAAGATTGGTATTTTTATATTTTCCAAGTGTTTTTATAGGGAATGTATGTACTTATTAATCATTAAAATAAATAACAAATATTAAATACAAAAGTGAGATTTCAAAAACAAATCTTCCTATTTTGATGAGTTAGTTTTCCTTTCACTCTCCATATCTATTTCATTCTTATTGGAAACGTACCTATTTGCTTCACAATACATAGTTAGAACATGTTCATTCATTCATTTTCACATAATTTGATTTTGGGCAAAATATTTTTAAGCTACTTATTCATTTAGCCATTATACATGGAGCTACAACATTTTAAAATCCAATTTGAGTTTCTAATGATAGTTAAATTTAATCAATTCTCTTAAAATGTTAAATAAATAGAAAGTCTATGATAACTGGTATTCTTTATAAAAGAGACTATACTTGTATGAACCACATATAGTTTTAGTGATGATTATAAGAGCAGCAGTTTTACTTTTTACATTTGCATATTCATAATCATAATGAAGCACAATTATTTTTTCAAATACAATGTTAAACTGTGAATTCATAATAATACTAATTTTCATTTCACTTCTGTACATCTTTGTTTATCCAAAGTTATGTTTCATAGTTCATAGAATGGTGTATTTTCAGATTTGGTGTTCAAGGTGGTGATGTGCAAAGAGCTTTCAACTGGAAAATACACCAGAATACTAGTTTCTGCTCTGTGATTAACTAGAATAGCAAAGGTAGATGTCATTTTGTCAGTTAAGGCCTCAGTTTCCCCAGTGATTCTAGATTATCATTCTTAATGCAGTAACATTTCCCCCAAGGGGGTGAAAATTATTTCTTGGGTACCAAAAAAGATCTTATATTTTTTGTGCTTGAAGCACAGATGTATATATAGTATATAAGCTGACACACTCTGTGTCTGTGTTATTAAAATTTCATTGGTGGGTCGTTAGAAAATAATCAGTCTAAAATGACTTCTAGAAAGGGAGATAATAAATAAAAAGCGAGAAACATTGCTCCAGATGATCTCTAATATCTCTTATCTATTACTTGTTTTGTTTGTGAGTCTGAAACAGTAATCAAAAATTTTCAGACCTGCCCAAAAGTCTTGCTTAATTATTTGTTTCCCTTTTTAGGACCAGCTTCATATATAGGAAATGAAAACCTATTTTTTATAACTTTTCTAGAGACTTTTATTATGACTATTTTCTACTTAGAGTGTCACTAACCTGACATTTATTTCCTCCTCAGTGTTATTTCCCTGTAGTTTTTAATCTGCCTACATCTAAATTTAACCTGGGCCTTTTGCTGACATCCTGAAGGGATTAAAAACAAAATGAAATAAAAACAGATTATCACAGAGGATAGGAGAGAAGATGCTGAACAATGGCTACAAGTGGAGAGTGGTAAGAGAATTTAGTCTTATAAATGTGGCTTTTCTATGGAAGTCAGGCTTTTTGGGCTATATCCTGATATAAATTTTCTTTTTCTGCCAGGTCTACAACAGTAATTGCAAGTTGTAAAGGAGGAGCCATATCTTGCTTTAATCAATGGGCTAAAGTGGTCATAGGGAGAGCCCAGAACTGTCAAACCTTCAGTAAGGAGGCAGGAGAGAGAGGGCTCAGCCAGCCTCTTTCCTGATCTAAATCAGTGGCTCACAAAATGGAGAATTAAAAGAAAATTTTATACTTTCTATGTACAAGCATGTTTTAACTTTAAATTAATTTTAAAACATTGCTTGTATTACTCAGGGTTTTTCAGAGAAACAGAAATAAGGACTACGAATAAAATAGATTAAGTAAGGAATTGGCTCACGTAATTATGGAGGCTGAGAAGGCCCACGAGGTGCAGTCAGCAAGCTGGAGATGCAGGAGCACGCTGGGGTAGGTCTCGTCTGAGTCTGCGTCTGAAGGCGGAAGAACACTGATGTCCCAGCTCAGAGACTGGCAGCCAGAGAAAGAGAATTTGTCTGTATTCATTCAGCCTTTTGTTCTATTCAGGCCTTCAGCAGATTGGTTGACACCCACCCACATTAGGGAAGGCAACTCGCTTGATTCAGCCTACTGAATCAAATGCTCATCTCATCCAGAAACACCCTCACAGACACACCTCGGACACTGTTTAATCAAACATCTGAGCACCCCATGGCCCAGTCAAGTTGACACATAAATTTAACTATCACAATCCTATGATTGTTAATAGTGTTATATCATTGCAAGTCCCAGATATCAGTTACCCAGCCTTTTCTGCTCATTTATTTTTTATTTTGTTATCATTACTGTACAATTACTTGAACAACATTATGGTTTCTAGACTCCCCCTATTATCAAGTCCCCACCACATACCCCATTACAGCCAGTCTCCATCAGCATAGTAAGATGCTACAGAATCACTACTTGTTTTTCTGTGTTATACACAATTTCCCGTGTCCCCTTCCACTACATTATGTGTGCTAAAATTCATTTGTTTTTATCTAACATTCTGTGGTTACAGATATGGAATGGACAGTTTTTCTACCTTTGTGCATTTCCATTTAGAGAGGAAGAAGATTCTGTATATATAATTCCTATTTCATAAGGGATGTTAAGCTGAAACTTTTATTAAAAATACAACTGGAAAATCTTTCCAATAACTGAGTCACCCCTGTGTCACATTTATTTCATACAGCAGCTATTTATCAGGAAACAAGATTTTGTTTAGTAATTTCATCTTAAATTGGCAGAGAAGAGAATAGTTATCAGATAGATGTTGGATGGCCTATGTGCTATAAACTGAAACCGTCCATGTAATTCTTAGAGAGACGCGTCCTCCCCTGAGCCACGGAGTATGATTGATCCCAGGAACCATCATCTATCTGCTCCCACAGTCTTAATACTGACTCTGAGTGATGGATCGTACTGTGTAGACCTGGATGCTTTGGGGCACATGAAAATCGTGCCTGGGGTTTGCACAGAATTCCACAGTGTACCTACTGATCCTTTGAATTTCACTATTGAAGTTTGAAATTGAAAAGAATTTGAATAAATACCTGTTTTCAAGTTATCATGTGACAATAGTCAGCAGTGGTTTCTTTTTTTGAAGAATATATATTGAATGAAAAATAGTACAAATTCATTATAAACAACCAGAACAATATATGTATTTTTATTTGAATTCTGTAGCTCAGTCCCCTGAGGTAAGGACTGTTAAGGATTATTTTTCCCACCTTTTTTCCCTAAATACACACCTACATGACACATCATGCACTTTTTTAAGAAGGTCTCATGCTGTAAATTGCTCTGTACAATGTTTTTGGTTATATTATAGAAAACAGTTCCATATTTGCATATGTAAATCCATGTTTTTATTTTAATTGGTGCTTAGTATTTTTGAAAAATCAAACTGTGTTCTTTGTGTGACCTGTGATTAGCCCACTTAAATGGAGAAGCCTTGCTTTTAGCTGCTTTATATACAAGAATGCCACAGGAGATTCACCTAAAGAAAGGGTTCTAATGCTAAAAGCAGTTTGTATACCTAGAGTCACTAAAATCATATTATTCAGCAGTACACTGGTTTTCTTTAATACTATGATTTTAGACTTTCACATGTTTATGTTTGAATCCATGTCTTCTCACTTAATTTGTTATAAGCCTCTAAATGTATTTCTCAATAATAGAAGATAAAATCATGTTGAGACCTCTTTGTTTTTCTTTTTACCTGAAATGCTTGTTTACTACTTCACCTCCTTTAAGTCTCTATTCTAGTTACCTTTTCAATAACCCCATTCTGATTGCCAGATTTAAAAAGGTGACTCCTCCTCGGTATTCCAAAACCTCATACTTTTTAAAATTATTTTTTTATTATTCTTTTTGCCACAATAGTCATAAGCATGTAATATACTGTCTTATGGATTATATTACTGCCTATTTGCATTATAATGAAACCATAGAAAAGCAGGATTTTGTGTGTTTATTTTTCTTACTCATGTATAAATATATCACCAATAAGAGCACCTGATATATAATAGATGTCCGTATTACTTATTTAATAATACATTGTTTAATACATAATTGGATAAACAAGAAAATAAAAAAGTGAGCTTCTCCACAGTTACTTCTTTGGCCTTGGATGTGATTTAAAATAAGATTAAACATGTTTTAATATTTATATGTATGAAAGATGCAACCTAACTTTGGGGTTGTACCGCTATTCTAACCAATTTCAGAACCTTCTGGCTGCATACTCCCAGGAGTTTTCAAAAGGATCATGTACACTCAGTTAGTATTGGCAGGCTGCTTCTAAAGGCCAAAACAGGACTACCTCAGTACACTGCTTGACTACAAAACGTGCATCATGAAATGCCTGCTCCCTTGTGGGCTCCAGCTAGAGCCCTGGCCAACCATAAGCATGGGGTTCAAAGCTCAAAGTATGAGAGATGACAAAATGTAAGATATCTAGGGGATAAAATCCTTTCGGTCTCCATGCATCCTATCTTAGTTCATAAAATGGAGATTTCCGCCCTCCTGGAAACACTGGGGAGGAAACTTTAACTTTTCTCCACCTTATTCACTCTTCTTAACTGACAGACTACAAAAGGAAGTTATGATCACAACATGTGCTCACGTTTCTTTGGTTCTCTTTTTGGGATCTGCCTTTCTTGAGGCTGAACTCATTTTCCACTTGTCCATGAGATGAGCCCAGTTTATGAGGCCTTTCACTTAAAGGGAGATTCTTTGGGTGTTCTGTTTGTCAGTGGGAGAATGATTCTAATTCAGTAGAGATACTACAAAGTACACATTTTGTGATCAAGCCTAAGATGGATTTTCTAGCTTAATTTCAGTAACAAATAGCTTAACTCCTATCTTACCTGGCTGCATGTCTTTAAATGCCAATTCAAATCTGTTTGAACACCAGAAGAACTCTTTCTAGGAACAACAAAACTTTCATATATGTAATAAAAACTGCCATATATGCTTTCCATGTGAAATACAGATAAACAATTTCAAGATATATTAAATTTCCAGATTCCCATAATGAAGCAGTTTCATTAGAGAGGCAAGTTGTTATCGATTCAATTGTGAGAGGAGGAAGTAAGACATTGTGGACTTTTTTGACAATATTTATATCACTGCTAAATTTTAAAGCAAAGACTAGAACACGGTCTGAAAAGAAAAAATCTGAAATATGGGATAATTGCAAACCACTGAAATATGTTTAGCTATCAGAGCTGAGGACAATGGTAGCATAAATACTGGGACTGCTGAGCATTGTAGTCAATTCTACAGACGGTGGCTGTCAGACCTTTTGACTCTTTTGCCATTACCCTGCTCTCTCCTGCTGGCATCTCAAGGCCCTGGGTCCCAGATACCAAATTCATTCATGTAAATAACTCCTAAAACAAGCAGACTTCCAACCATTACATTAGTGGGAAATATGAAGAAAATATGAAGAAAAATATGAGAGCTAGTCACCTATTCTACTGTCTGAGCAGCAAAATTTTCAGTTTTCATGAGGTTTTGCTCTGCCTTTTTCTTCTTTTGTCTTGCTTATTCACCATCAGTTATCATCTTTACCTTATTAAAAATGTGGAACTGCTTGTTGAAACACCTTTCCATTCTGGTTAAAGTGCTTCTGTGATTTGTTTTCTGACTGTGTTATATTCTCTTCATGGTTTACTGTACAGATCAATATTCAGAAAGGTCAGAAAAGTGTCTTTTTCTAGGTCAGGCAATGCAGAAAGCTGACATACTGGAAATGTAGTTCATCGCATTCCTCTAATATCAGAGGCCTCAGGGACACCTTTGACTTTTGTTAATAATTGGTAACAATCATACAAATAAGCAAAATACATGTTAATTGTTGGCCTGTAATTGGCTAAAATTGCACAGCTGTATCACATTTACTATGATTAATTAGTTGAACAGAGCAATATTTTGAAAAAATAGCAATTTTCCACTTTGCCTAGGAACTTTTGTCTCCATGGCTCAATGATTATAAAAGTGTAGTTGTCAAGGCAACTGTGCCGAGCAACTGCTAAGTAAATAGTGCAGATTCAAATGTGTGAAAGCAAATAAAAATCCAGTTGAGTTATATCTACACCATGGATAAAAGTGACTGCTGATCGCAGCATTACGGCTGTCATTGTGTAATAATCATTGTATGCATATGAAAAACCATGCAAAAAATGCATTCTCACTTCTGTTGCTTTATATCTGCTGTGTTTTCTCCTGGAAATACTCTCCCTACCCGAAGACACCACCTTACCTCCAGCACTCTCCCTTCTCTAGCAATACTATGTATTGCAGAAAGTTCATTTAATTGACACCTTCTCAGATGTCCATATGCCTTTTCGGTATTTGGATAATATTTTTCTAACATTAGTACTCTGGTTCTTAGTATATCGCTGTATACAAAGATGAATGACATTTGTTTTCCCCAGGAGGCCAAATATTCTTTGCGATCTCTTTACTTTTGAAGCACAGCACGATGCTGACACAGAGCAGGTATCAAGTGGCAATCTGACACAAAATAGCAATGTTGCTCTTGTGAACTCTCCAACTGTTGTATTCAATAACATAGTTATTCAATTACTTTGCTATGATTCCAAATGTAGGAAGTAGTGACATAGCAACAATTGTGCTATCTTGTGCAATGAGTAAGTCTGTAGGTGCTGATTAAGTTGTACCGAAATTTTAACAATTCCACCAGCAGATGACACTAAAAAAAGAATGTATTGCTTGGTTAAATCAATGAGAAAGTGTTAGGTTACAAGTGAAATGGCTCCTTTAGAAACAGTGATTTGCAAATGTGGGCCAACAGAGTATATAATGCTATTAAAATATTAGTGAATTATTAGTGAGAAAGTGATCTGCTCACATTTTGGGCTGTTTTGGTTTGGTGCCATTTATAATTTAGGAACTGTATTATGAAATGACATATGACATGAAACATTATGTTTTATATGCATATGAATGACATGAATTCATATGAATGACATATGAATATTGCAGCAGTTAA